CCCCAAAACCCCAAAACCCCAAAACCCCAAAACCCCAAAACCCCAAAACCCCATTCAATTTGAATTATATTGATTCTTATATTTTAAACTAATTCACCTAATTTAAATACTAAATTTATCCGAATAGAGATGAGAAGTAGCCCTTTTTGGTATTTTTCTTTTGTAGTTTCTTACGCAATTTTTCCCGCTTCTTCTCCCCTAAAAATAAAAGTTATTACACAAAAAGTGTATTGAGAACATACCTTCAACTCTCATCTTTTTGTCATGCCTTTGTTGCACTTCAAGTTTACACTTCCACTCTTGAGAGTATTTTTGGTTGTCATACTGAAGCCATAGAAGATCTTCTCTGTACCTAGAGTCGGATGGGAGAACCCATGGGCATGGACAGTATCTGTAGGGAGTGAACTTATCCAACTCCCAAAAGATTTCCCCATCAATTACGAGCTCTCCAAGGACATTGCCATGGAGTTCTCATATCTCTTCGTCAATGTCTGCAATGTCTTTTAAAGATGCAATTTCTTTCTTCTGCTCAACCCCAACCTCTTGCTTGTAAAGTACTCCTTCGAAGTGTGTCGGAAGCACTGTGAAGTCATGCCTCGGCTTGCTAGGGTGGAAGACCACGACTCCTTTGGTGCCGTTCTTGTGGTCGATTATGACTCCGGTTCCATCGATGTTAAGTGTCCTCTCACCCCAGACGAGTCCGCTGACTCTGGTGGTTGGGTAGTGAATCTCTATTTTGTGTTTATCTGGGAATTCTACGTAATTCGCTCCTTCGAAAAATATGTTGATTACATTTCCCTTATTTTTCACATTTGCTTTGAATTCGACAGACCCATACATCCTGTACGCATACTCTGGTGGTCCTTCAATTAAGTAGCTTGAAATAGGAGGATGATGACTAATGTGTTCAACATATATTTTTGAGCCATCTTTAAAGTAGCCTTCTAATGTTTCGCCCAAAATTGGGTTAAAAGGTTTTCTTAAATCAGCAGATACATACATTCCACTCACAATAAAAGCTAGGATATATTTCATTCTTAACAGTTCATCTGTTGTTTCTCATGCTTTCTTGAAGAATATGGGGACAAAACTGCATGCGTCAAGTATCCTCTCCAGTAATGATTTTGGCTGGAAGATTCTAACAGGAAGAGAGATAGCTACAATCCCTTTCCCAGTTAAGAGATTCTTAGCCAATTCTTTCAAAATGAAGGGGATCACTCCTTTATTGGCTTCCTTAATTTTCTCATCACTGCATTCTAGGTAACCCCTCTCGTTAACAAAGAAACTTTGCAATATTTCGTCCTTTTCAACTGGCTTTGGAATGTTCAAATCTTCAAATCTGATATACAGAGGAGGTGGAGCCTTTTTATCATACTTTTTAGAGTCAAGGAATGAATATGGAGGGGCTGGTATGCTGCTAGAATAAGCCAGCTCCTCTGCAATATCTTCTGGGTCCTGACCAGTCCTGTCAATGTCCTTTATCTCACCTAAGATGTCGGTCTGGCACGATTCCCCTGCGAAATCTTGAGCTATTTCTGCCATTACTATTATTTTATTATTTCTTATTGGCCTTTAAGTTTGGGGTTTTGGGGTTTTGGGGTTTTGGGGTTTTGGGGTTTTGGGGTTTTGGGG